GTCACTATTTCCATTCAATGAGTTGTGGTAAGTGGCGGCTATGTTTTCTGTATCTACTGTATTACTTAAAAAAAAACAAACAAACAAACATGTAAAACGGTTCAATAGATTCATAAATGTTGGATTTTAGCGTTGTATAAAAAGTTATGGCTCTTCGTTACTAGGAGGTATAATAATACTCAAGTGGTGTCTTTTTTTTTCTCAATGTAGTCACCTCCCGATGTGAATCATGACCTTTCGACAGAGCACTTCAAGTGACCTTCTGTCAATAGAATGGAATGATTATGCGTCACCTTACAAAGCATGTTTGGATCAATCTGAGTTTATTTCTTCTGATTTATAAAATAATGTTACCTTCCTCTGCGACATCCATGTCAGGTTCATGCGTCGTCTTTTCTTCTTCAGCTTTTTTGGCTTCTTTAGAAAATGATTTATTTGATACAAAGTAAGTTAGTATACAGTCATTAAATTTTGTCTTTGTACTTAGAGTTAAAATCATTAATGTTTCACCAATTTCCACACTGGAATTGTCCCAGTGACTACCAAAGTAAAAGAGATCTTTTAATTACTCATTAAATTCCTTCATCTCTATAGTGACCAATCAAAAACCATTATCTCCTTTACCTTTGTTACTGAGCACTGAAATCTCTTCAATCTCCACCTGCTCCTCAGATTTACCAGCTGTGTGAAATTAGATTTTTTATTGAAAGTTACGTTAGTTACATTTATAACGCAACTAAGTCTTAAGTCTTTGAAGACAACAAACTTTCCAATAAGACTTTCTAAAGTTAATCGACCCATTAGGTTTAGTAACTGACGAAGGGTTTTGTACCTTACCGGAAATAGAGACCGACAAGCTACTCTCGTCAATTTTTTCATATGACAGACTTAGAATCTGTGATTTGGTTGGTGATTAAGCGTTAACATGTTAACCCCAATCTTACTGGTGTGACATACACAACCATGCAATCAAGTGTACCAAGTGCGCCAGCTTGGTTGCACTTTTTTTAGAGTTACGAAATTTCCAAAAAAATTGAATGAAAATTGAAAAGGTGTTTACCTTCCACAGTCTTTGCAGCGGCTTTTCTGATGTCGAAATCCCCCTGATAATCTGTTTTAAAGAACAAGTAGAGTAAAACGTTTCATAATGCTTATGGTTCATGTTTTATTCTGCAATAAATTTCTCTTTTTTTTTATTTTAGGTACGTCAGAATTTCAGATATATTCAATTATTTATTGATTGATAAAATATCACTGAGTTACAAAGCTCACATTTAAATCTACAAGTTAATTTGATTGCATGAAAATGGTTGCTGGAATGATACCTCTGCAAAATGCAGTTGTTACAACGCATTACCTGTCTTCATTTTGGCGATTCTTATGACCGGTAGGTAAAGTGCAATTTGCAGTTGAAGTCACATTGTGCAATTGTAATTTTTGCAATACTACTCACGTAAATAAAGCGCTTGTCTGTACCTCCTTTTATATTCCGTTCATAAATATTTTTTTACCTGAGGAAGATGGATTCGCTTCCCCTCTACAGGCTTGTTCAATTACTGTCAACAGAGCAAATTGTTATCTTTAAGTTATTCTTCATACAATATAATTGAAAACTGGAAACAATGAATGATCATTGTCAACATATACGTATCATTTATTTACTACAACCGTGTCATATGGAGGACGATGGTATCTTCCTTCCATAATATGCCATAACATATTATTATTGTAAAGGAATGGGGATCTCATGAGTGGAGGTCTTAAAAGTACATAAGGCAATTTATCACCAGAACATCGGGAGGTAACTTATCAACCAAAAGTAATATAACCTAATTTTATCCCATTATTGTCACATGGGAAACCATTCCTCAATCTATCCTTTCTCAAAATGCTCCAACAGAAATTATCAGAGCAGAAAAGGAATGCTGTAGTTTCTATAGGTATTTTAATTTGAGAGAGCTAATATTTGCTAGGTTAATTAATTAGAATATACATGCCCGCCAAGAGAGTTGGATTGCAAAGTCAATTACAGCTTTATCGTTAGCATCAAAACTCCTATATTTATTAAATGACCTGGCTGCGGTGCAGGCAATTCAGGGGCTTCCACTTCTGGGATTTCGTTGTGTTCCAATACCTGCATTTCAATTTGCTCTCCTACAGGGGAGAAAATGAAAAAAAGGAATTAAGTATAGAAAAGAGAAAGGAAAGAAAAGTATCACACAAAGAACCCTACAAAGGCGTGGAGAAGTTATTTCGTATGTGACTATACTAACAAGCACTCTATTTTTACCCTCTTCGACGTTAGCATGTTCATCTCCATTTCCAGTCTGTCCCTGTTGATCATTTTCTGCTTCTTTTATATGAAAGAGTAACATCAACAAAAAATTATTGGCCATTGTCAGGTTTATCCAAAGAAAAAAAAAGTCCTACATTCGGAATGTATCTTTACCTTATAATTTGAGACAGCTGTATAGCCATTTATTTTTTGAGAATTGTTTGCAGCGGAGTGAGTTTTGGCCAGCATCTTATTTTAAAAATTTGTCCCAAATGGCAACCATTTGTCTCAATGTTCCTAATACATGGCTGTAGAGATACAAACCTTCAAAATTCGAGCTGAAAGCATGATTTCTAATCGCGTTTCTGCTTTCGTTGAACTTTATGATTTAAATGATTTAATACATTGATCCTCTCTCTGTTTAGAATCACTTGTTTTCTCTTCTACGTCTGCCACAACTTTACATATTGTCAGTTGTACCTCTTTGGTTTCAATAATTTGCTCAGTTTCTTATTCGAAAAATTTAAAAAAAATACATCAGTTTTCTACGATTTCATACCAGTTCCACCCTCTTCCCTCTTGAAAGCCTTGAGAGTAAAAATGACATAAGTAACTTAGAGAAAACTGGGTTGCTAATACTCAATTTGATAAAAGCTTGTTCATTTCAAGGTTTGGAATATAATTGTTGTTATCATGATATTTTTGAATGGATCTTAAAACTGTACCTTCTTGATTTTGTCCTCTGTTAAAAATAGATCGAACATTGGACCACAGCTTCCTCAGTTTTGGTTTCAACACAGCCTGCACCTAGACATTCAAAACATATTGGACGGTTTACGTAAAGACTTTCAAGTAACGTATTAAGAAGTCACGTTGGTCTTTATGGTTAAAGTCAACGGTGGAGAAGCTGACAAAATCCGTCCGGTCATTTACGTTTTTCACACTTGTTTTGTATGTCAATCGTTACAATTACAAATTAAGTTGCCAGCCTGCTCTGACACGAGAGAAAATTTGAACATAACGGTAGGTGCTATTCCAAAGTAACAACAAAAAAACACATGTTACCTGTGGGGTAGAAAGTGTATACAGCAATGGGTTGATAGCTGAATTGATCGGCAGAGCGAACACTGCAATCCATACTGCCAGATCACCAGGGGGGTCAAATGTTTTCTCGACGTGGGACCGGATGCCGATAGCAATGATTGGCATCCAACACAAGAAATCGGTCAGAATAATGAAGAAGACTCTTTTGGCAAGTGCTCTTTCTCTTTTAGCATGTGCACTTTGTGCTCTTGCTCGTATTTCACGAACAGTTCCATGTGCACCAAGCCGTCTGCTTGACGACCATGATTTCCACAATATGGCAATATAAGCAACCGTGATGAAGATGAATAGGGAAAAATTCAAAACGATAAAGATGGAAGTGGAGTATTCCCAGCCTTCTTGTAATTCAGGGGAAAGCTGCAGGGGCAGGCACACTACATTATTACCGTAATACCTCTCACTGAAATAGTGCATTCCAGACAAGGGAAGGAATGCCATGACGCCTCCCACCAGCCAGATAACTACACACATTATACGGGTCTGCCTTGGGGTAATTTTTGCAAAGGTGAAAGGAAACACGATGTTTTTGAGTCTGTCCCATGCGATCAGAGAAATCATCATCACTGACACTTCACTTGAAAAGACAGACATGG